CTATTATTCAGTCGCAATTTGATAATTGTATAATCCTATTATTCTACTTGTATAACACAAGTTAGATTGTGTTAGGATTAATCGATATATATTCAATCGATATATATTCAACTCTATTTTAACAATTTTTTTTAATCGTTTGTGACAATATAATATCTGCCAATTGATATCTGTTGTCAAGGCGAGCAATATCGTTACAATTGCGAATCTCCTCGAAATGTCGTTATCAAAGCCATACATTAGAATAATAATCCTCTTAATCGTCACAAGCGACGTAACTATATCAGTACTCGTCGAAAATGCTAATAGCAAATTCAGAAATTGACTCCTTATGTCCTACGGCGAGAAAGCGCCGGTTTAGCCAATCTGCCGTACGAAACCGACTTTACCGTCGCTAATTGAGTCATCACGATTGCCGAAACGTCATTATCCTCGGGAATAAGAGACCGTCGGCGTTGACGTGATAGTGTGCGATAATCGAACGTTAATCAATACCATAACCAAAGCAAACCAAACCGAAGCAAAGGTCAAAGGACTGTATGTATATGCGAATGGCCGCTGGCTGCGTTTTGTTTTAGTTGGTTACTCCTAAGTTTGTCCGAGTTTCGGCTTTGCATGGCACATTGCATTCCATCACAACCTCGCCGTGCTCCTCACGGCCGCCCAGCAGAGCTGTCAGCCTCTGCGACGGCAGTTCCGGGTACGAGTCGACCATGAGCCACCTAGGGCCGCACTACAACGTCTACAACGTGCCCAGGAGCAATTCGCCGGTGCTTAAGTACAACACTCTGAAGCCGCGACGGCGCAAACAGAAGCACTCGCAGCAGTTCTACTCGTTGCGGCTGTGCCGCCGGCACGAGAATATCCGCAGGAAGTACGAGCTGTACGCGATACCGATCTATAAGACGTGCCCGCACAGGAGCGACAGTACGACCACGATCGCGACGATCGTTCGGTCGACGGAGGATCCGCCGTCCCTGACCCTGAGCCAGGGATCGATCAGCCTAATGAGCCGATCGGCGCCGTCGACACCTGTACCGTCGTCGCCGACGACGCCGCCGATACCAGCTCCGAGGACATCCAGAAAAACCGACCCGTCCAAACACACCTATCAAAATGTTCCTCCCCCCGTTTTTCCGCTGAAAAACGCTTCGTTGCCTAAGCTTAAGGTTTGTCGACTATTGATGATCTATGATACGAAAACCCCCGCATCTGATAACGCTCGCGGACGTTGCCGTGAACAATCCTCTCGGCAATCGGCTCTTAATCAACTTTATCGCTATTGGTTCGTATCGTTGAATGATTCTTTACTGATCTGAATATTAATATTTGTAATTTTTATATTATATGTCAGGTCAGGTTACAAAAAGATCTTTTGCATAAAGTTATTACGATTTTGGATATTGTGTTAAAAATATTCACAATTTGCATTTGTCTGTTTTTTTACGTAGAAATATATTGCATTTAGAAATATATTGCATACTAGATAGAATGGAACAGGAAATATAGATGTACATAGGAGTACACGAAAGATGTATTGAATTCAATATTTCCAGAAGCTTTGATGGAAGTTATTTTGGTGTATACAGACTCTCATACAGTACTGCATTTCATCAAGTATTGCGACCACAATACAATGCTCTTTATAGCCACGGAATAACGATATTATTTCAGAACAAAAGAGTATAAAAAGAAATACATTAAAAATATTGATATTTTCATTTTAGTATGAAATATAAACTCTGAGAGAGAAATTTAATCTATAACTTTTATCACATATTTTGATTAAAATAAGTATTTTTATGAATGACTTTTAAATTATCTTCTTCTTTCAGTTGTTATGGAAAATTTATAATTTCTCTTTTTATTATTAAAATTGAATATAGTTGAATATAGTTTACTTGGAATTAATATCTAATTTTATAAAGTTTAAAAGTTAAACAAAATAATGTTTTAAAATTAATGTTAATTTGCATTTATTAATTATAAACAGAATATATTAAAATTCAATGAAACCTACATTTAATTATACAAATTAATTAACTAAAGCTAAAACGATGTAAGAGGCACCTACGATCAATAACCAGTTTTTAAATAATGTTTTATTTGAATTAATTTATTATTAATTTGTTGTTTTTACAATAAAATTTGAAAACAATTCTTTTCATTATTTTAATGTATCAATGATATTTCTTAAAATTTTAATTAATTAATTAAATCTTAAAATCTTTATAAATGATTTTATATTTTTTATAAAAAATAGACTCTGCATATATATATATATATATATATATATATATATATATATATAATTATTTGTAATATTATCAGTTTTAATTTGCCGTAAGAATAGTCAAGCTATATATGCAGTCTGTGACAGAAAATGTTCCTCCGATGCATCCTTATCATCATACGTATCTTTATTACAGCAGTTTGATTATAATTTGACTTCCTCAAGTTCCTACGAACTCATGGCGATTTTATCGTGGCGTTTTAGGAATTCTCGTGCTTAGGAAACGTGATCTTAGGAAACGTGATCACTCTTGTAACTTCCTTAATCAAACTATTTGTAATTAATCGCGAAAGTTGAAATTGATGCGATCAATGTAGAGCGGCAACGTCCAGTGAGCGAAGAAGTCAATCCGTTCTCCTTTTAAGCACCGAGTAACATTAGCATATCGCGCCTATTGCATGAGTACGATTTACGTGTCCGTAATAGATATAAAACAGCAGCTTCTCGAGCAAATAGGAGGTAGAGTTGCTGGAAGCCGAGTTATAATCGGAAATCATATTTTCCCTGCTAAGCTGGATCCGGGCATCTATGTAGCGACCGCCCTTGTGCATGTTGGCCGCGCGTCAAGTAAGTTTCCACTATCACACACGCTTAACCAACGACACGAGCTCTTTTTTATTTGGAAACACCGATGGATCTGAGATATTACCTCGCGATAATTTTCGCAATCTCAATTTTCTTTATACGTCTATTCTCTCATTTTCATCTACGACGATAGAGTTCGGTGCAACGAAAATCATCTTCATGCTTCGCTCATCGATCTTGCACAATTCCTTTGTAGTATCGCTCTGTCGGATATACCGGATAAGCTCCGCCAACGAGGATTCTTTGAAGTCAAACATAAAGAACACAATGAATATTCAAATTCTATCCTGCAAACAATTTGTAAATCTTTTATAAAATGTGTCTTAAAATACGAATCAAAAATTCTATTTCTTAAACGTGCTTGTCTTTGTCAATCAACATCAAATTTTTTTCTATGTAAAATTCATGCACTTAATATGCGATAAAACTTGAATGTGCTATATAACTACACTAAACTCTGTATGTTCCTCGTTCGTATCTCGTATTTACACAATGCGATGATCTTGTATCTTGACAAACTTGTACAGATCTTCTTTCCAATATAAGAAACCGAAGTAATGTCTCAGCCATGCAACTTTCTCACGCACACATTTGCGTCGCGTTAACCATTCGCGTCCCCGAACTCGCCTGGTTCCAATTACTAACCATGCCTGTTGCAGACCGACAGCCTATACAACTACAAAGAACACTACCAGCAGCAGCATCGGCAGGAGATGCAGCAGTACAGCTACCCCTTACCGAGCAACAGTTCGAACCAACTAACACTGCCACTAACGCGCAGCCTCTACCATTCCTCGATAGTTAGTCCCCTGCAGACCTCCCTCGCCCACACTAACAACAGCCGGCCGTCCACCCTGATGCACCATGAGGCCGCCCCTATCGGCAATCACCCGCCCGCGGTGCATCGGGACGAGGAACAAGAACAAGAACAGCAGCAGCAGCAGCAGCAGCAGCAGCAGCAGCAGCAGCAATCAAATTACGGCAATCACGATGCGAGACAATCATCATCGCGTCGACACGCGACGAATCGGCGGAACGAACGTAATCGGAAGTACCGGAAGCAGGAGCGAACGTCGAGCGATCGAAGCAAATCGAAGCAGAATCGACAGAGAGACAGAGATGCTCTGCCACGACGTAGTAACGCTTCCTTCGTCGATTCACCCGATTACGAGACCGGTTTCCATCAGATCCCAGATCTGGGCGTATCCGAGACGACGTACAAGATCTCGTATCCGCATTACTACGAAGATGACATTCCGGATTACTCCACCGACTGTCAGAGGCCAAACTCGACGACAGCGCGTCAACAACAGCAGCAGCAACAGCAGCAGCAACCGTGGGACTGCCAGTCAAATCGCTACGGCAGCAATAATACATCTCAGCTCACAACGAACGTGGGTGACACGAAAAATCGCAGCAAAATGTCGAAGACAAGGTTTGGCGACACCCGCAACGTACCGTCCGCACCCACGATAATGCAGTACGCCGAGCTTCACTTCCGGGATGTCGGTCAAGAGATCGATGTCTAAAGGTTAGTGATCCCGATTCTGCTGTACAACGGATGTTGCTTCGAAGAACTCGGGCAATTGCATTTTTTTTTTTCCGAGAAATGCCGTGGCAATTTGTTTAAGACTTCGAAACTCAATACACTACTACGCCTTGAAGGTAACGCACCCGCGTGTGCCAAATGCAGATTTCTTTAAGATGTCTACACACGTCGTATTCGAAGGTAGGATAGCAAATTAATATATTTTCTCATTTCTTTTCTCTTCCATTTTGCTTACTTTGCCAAATATCCGTGTGTATTTTCCTTCAATGTATGTCAGTCTTGACTTTTTTTGTCTTGATGCTACAATCTGCAGCTTTCTCATTGCTTTTGCATTTATTATTCTTTTTGATTTTCAGATATAGTAGTTTTAAATATCTTTTTCTTCCTCTTGCTTTTAAATTAACATTAATTTGATAATGCACGGTATATTAATTCTGTACTTTGATAAATTCGTAGAAAGATAATCTTAAATCGTAAAAAAATTTACATGCGTTCCATACAATTTATATATAATAATTTTATTTAGAATTAATCTCATAATGTATTACATAATCATCATCAGCTCTGAATATATTTTTCTAAAGATATACGCCATCACTTTTTTATAATTTTTTTATAAGACACAGCGTGGTTCGATGTTGTAAAATGAAATTGTTGATAATATTATATAATTTTTATACAATTTTATTCAGAATTTATTTGTAATTTGAAAGGAACTTCTCTTTAAGAGATCACGTGTTTTAAATTAATAATGCTATAAAACTTGCATAGAAAGAAAAACAAGGGAAACAAAAACACGAGCGATATATAAAATATTTTTGCATGCAGACAGATCGATCCAATCATCGATTACACACAGAAATATTGTGTGTGTGTATGTATATATAAACTTTCTACATATATTTAATTCAATCAAAAAAATATCCGTGAATTCATAAAAATTAAATTCTTTGCATATGTATATTTGCAGTATACAGTTTTATCGATTAAAAAGATTCGATCTAGTTATAGAAGATTAAAATCCGTGACGTGTTAGTTTGAGCATCCCTGTGGTAAAAAAAAAATTTATAAGACGAACAATGGAATATACATAATATACGATTGTATTGTTATTTCACTGATTTTGATTTACACAGAACAAACTGTCTAATTTGAAAAGCATAATTCAATGCAAAATATATACAAGATATATCCGAGATACGAAAAATTTAAACAGTAATATTAAATATTTTTTATTGAATTTCAAATTATCGAATATTAAAACATCCAGAAACGGATACACATCGTATATTGTTGATAGCTTGCTTCATTTTTTATCTTGTTATATAAATAAAACGGTGCAACGAAGAAAAATAGATTTATCCTGAAACTTGAAGAAGATGATATAGAACGATATCGAAACAATTCGAACCGTACGCTTCATCTCGCGGTAGTTTTATCCCCAGTGTAATAATTATTTATACTCTCTTTCGATCCCGTCGTACTGTCAATAATTTCGTGTTTCCGATTGCATTGAAACTGAATTAAATTGTCAAAGCAGTTTCGATCGCGCTGTACATCTTGCATGTCTCTCTGTACCTCTTTCGCGAACGTATTCTGCCTGTAAGGCAGCTGGCATAAAAAGCGCAAAAGGAGGATTGCATTTGGATTGCGTATCATACCAATTGTATATCTCAATGTTTGTTCGTAGGAGGATCAGCCGACAAAGAGCGATACGTACATTTACTAGGACAATTTGGCGTCCGACAAGCCCTGTAGGTACAGAATTGTCACGCTGCTTACACATAACGTAATTCGAGATACGATAAATATAAAATGTCCGCTCGCGCAAGGGATGCCGAACTCAAGCTCGTAATTTTATTCGTGAAATTACATTGATAGAGATACCTTCGGTTTTAATATATTGTTTACGCGCTATTTTTTTATTCTTTTTATTTCCAGCTTGGCCTCTATACGTAGAATTATTTGTGCTGAGCTAAAAATGTGTACCGGATATGATATATATTTTTTTTATCTGTAAACAAATTTGCTTGAAAAAGAATATTAGGGTATCTGTTAAATAATTTTAAAGTGTTAACATATATTTTTATTATACATGGCATTGCATTCTATGTCCATCGCTATAGAAGACTATCTATTTTTCGTTCTATATACTGCATATG